TTGTTGAGTTTCTTTCTGGTTGTTCTATCCCTTTTTGAAAGTGGTGTGTTGAAATCTCCCACTATAATTGTGGATTTATCTATTTCTTTCTTCAATTCCATTAAGGTTTGCTTCATGTATCTTGGTGCTCTTTTGTTAGGAACGTATATGTTTATTATAGTTATACTGTCATGCTCAATTGACCCTTTGATCATGAGATTGTGTCCTTTATCTCTTATGTTGGTTCTTACCTTGAAATCTACTTTGTCGGAGATTAGTATCGCGACTCCTGCTTGTTTATTGTTTCAGTTGGCTTGGTAAATTTTTTTCCATCCTTTAACTTTTAGTCTGTTTTTGTCTTTGTGTGTAAGGTGTGTCTCTTGCAGGTAGCATATTGATGGATCTTGTTTTCTTATCTATTCTGCCACTCTTTGTCTCTTCACTGGTGCATTCAGTCCATTGACATTCAATGTAATTATCGATAAGTATGAGTTGATTGCTGTCATTATGTTACTTTTCTGGCAGTGCTATTTGTTCTTTGGTTCTGCTTTCTTTCTTGTGTTGCCTTTATGTCCTTTGAATTGTTTCTTTTCGGTTTCCTCCTAGTTTCTCTGTTCGCTTGTTCTGCTTGGGAATTCATTTTTATGATATATTGTGGAGTGTTAACTTTCTTTGGGGTTACCTTGTAGTCTACTAACTTTTCTCTGCATTTAGGATACTCATTGTAACCTGTAATTTACCTGGCATCCCCACCATCCGGGTTTCCATTGCTACATTTGTCCCTTCTTTGACATTGATATGTTTTTAGCCTTCAGTTGATCTCCCTGTTCTTTTGTGTTTGTCATTGTAGTCTCGTTCTGTTCTGAACTCTGCTATCTTTTGGTTGTGTTCCAGGTGGTGTTGCCATACCTGTCAATCTCTGTTTGTTGTCCTTGTTGGTTCTCTGTCCACAGAACTCCATTTAGGATGTTTTGAAGTGCTGGGTTGGTTTTGGTAAAATCTCTCAGATTCTGTTTATCCTGGAATGTTTTGATCACACCATCATATTAGACTGATAATTTTGCTGGATAGATGATTCTTGGTTGAACGTTTTTTTTTTCTTGCAGAGCCTTGTATATGTCTCCCCATTGCCTTCTCGCCTGCATGGTTTGTTCTGAAAGTCAGAGCTTAATCTAATTTTTTTGCCTTTATCAGTTATATTTCACTTCTCCTTGACTGCTTTTAATATTCTTTCCTTGTCTTTGATTTTGGAGAGCTTGATTATTCTATGTCTTGGAGACTTTCTTTTGGGATCTATCCTTCCTGGGTTACGTTGGGCTTCTTGAATGTTTGTGTTCATGTCTTTCAAGATGTTAGGCAAATTTTCTTCCAGAAGCTCTTCAACTATCTCTTCTGGGGACTTCTATGCTTCTTCTTGTTCCGGAATGCCAATAATTCTTATGGTATTCCTCTTCATGTTAGCCAGCATGAATCTTAGACTCTTCAGATTGTTTTATCCTTTTAGCTGCTTGCTCTCCGAACTTGGTAGTATTGAGAGATTTGTCTTCCAGTTCACTAGTTCTGGCTTCCATCTCTTCTAGTCTGCTCCTTTCCCCTTTCAGCCTATTTCTATTTCTGATATCTTATTATTGACCACCTGGACATCTTTTTGAAGGTTTTGAATTGTTTCCAATGCTGTGTCAATCCTGTTTGATTGTTACTGCAGTAATTTCCTTACTTCTTCCTTACTTTCCTCGAAACTTTTTCAGATTATTTGAATTTGTTTCCATATCATTCTTCTGAATTCCCTCTCAAGCATATCCAAAACCTGCTCTTCCTCCTCTATAAACCTTTTGTCTGTCTCCAGCTCATTTGCGTCAGCTGTTCTCTTCTGTTTTTGTATGTGTTTCAATAAAGTTGATTGTTTCTTATTGGTCATGGTTATTATTATTATGATGATTATTATTAATGTGATTGGGAGATGGGCTTCCCTTATAGTCTGTAATGCATTGCAGGTGTTGTTGGGTCTTGTCTTAGTGGTGGAGTATTATGTTGTATGCTAATAGCTTGGCTATGTGGCCACGATTGCTGCTTCTTTAGTGACGTAGGGAGGAAATGTTCCCACTTCCATGAAAGATGTATGATCAAAAGGACTAATAGCAGAAGTAATATAATCGCATGGACAGAAATCACCACTTTGGAGGGGGGATGTGGCTTTGGTTAACTTTTTCTGTTTCCTGTCATGCCAGAACAGCAGCTGGAACATCCCACTGCTACCTGGGAGTGTGGTCAGGACGGCTTAGATGCAGGGTTTCCAATTGGAGACGGCAGATGGCAGATGACGTCAAAAGTCGGCGCCTTTCTCCCTCTCTCTGTGCCATGGGTAAACTGCACTGCGTGGTGATCTTGTTGAGATCTTAAGCTGGAGCAGGGAGATTTGGGGGGGCGGGAGCTATGTCGTTTCTTGCGGCTTTTTTTGTCTATGGTCCCCTTTATTTTCCTCCTGTTGGAAATGCCACTTTCCAAATGGGCTGGCCTTAGCCCCGCCATCTAAACTGCAATCGCCGGAAACACCTGCAGTCCTGCAGGCCAGAGTCCCAAAATGTGTGTTTTTTTCCTTAGCAAAGGGATTTCTCAAAAATTCGAGTTCAGAAGACTGAAATACTAGATCTTATGATAGTTCAAAAGCCGTGGGTCTGGTATATGAACATTTCCTTCATGACCTCCCCCTCCCTTCTCACCAGAGCTTTCTCATACCTCACTCTCCTGGCTGTAGCCACAGAACCGGAAGTCAAATGTCATAATTTTTGCTTTGTGATATGAAACAGTCAACCAATCCATTACTATCAAGTCAGCTCAGACTCATAGAAACCCTCTAGGATAGAGTAGAACTGCTTCATAGAGTTCGGAGGCTGTAAATCTTTACAGAAGCAAAAGGACTCATCTCCCTCCCTCAGAGCAGCTGGTGGATTTAAATGGAGAAACTTAAAGCTCAGTGTTAACCCACAGTGCCCCCAGGACTCCTGTTTTGTATTAAAGCAAAATCAAAACCCACTACTGTCGAGTCCATTCCAACTCATAGTGATCCCATGTAGAGATTCTGAGACTGTAAACCTTTATAGGAGCAGAGAGCCCCCTGAAGAGCAGCTGGTAGGTTTGAATCACACATCTTGCTAGGGCTCAACCCGATGTGCTACCAAGGTTCCTTTTTTGTATGAAAGCTCTCCCTAATTTCTTATTAGAAAAGCAACACCCCCAACCATCTGTCCACCAATTAATTCATCTACGAAGTATTTGTTGACCAGGCGAGAGCGGGCACTTACCCTTCACTTGATTAGACCAATAGCACCACTTTTTAAAGACATTTGAATGCAGCATCTTCAGTGGTAACTATCTGGCAGACACTGCTGAGGGTCTACAGCATTACATATTCCCATTTCCAGTGTTCTACCATCTGTCCCTCGTGTCAGAAACAGCAAGCCCCACCCTATGAAGTAGAGTGCATCAGAGTAAGGTGTCTGGGATCAGATAATCTCAGGTTCAAGTATGGATTCTCCCACTTACTGGCTGTGTGATCTTGATAAGATTACTCAACCACCTTGGTACTGTAGGATATGGCACCTACCATGCTGTACTGTTATGAGGACTAAATAAAATAATATTTTTAAAGCACTTATCCATTGTTCATTGAGTGCTTACTTTATTTCAGCCATCAAAATATTATTTTCATATGTCTCGCCCCAGGACAGATGAGATTTGTTCTCCTGCAAAATATATTTCCATTGTAATGATTTTTCTTGGGAAACGGACACTGGCACAATCTCATACTCAGCACTCCCTGGGAAAACGTGACCTTGAACTAACCTTTTTTTCTTTGATCACCAGGTTGTTCTTAAGTGTATTGGAGTCTAAGGAACTTGTTAGCTGCTGTCAAGTCAGTTCTGACTCATAGCGGCCTTATGCACACACACACACATACACAAGGTAATGAGGGTTCCGAAAAGTTAAAAGATAAATCCATCCTCACAGTTTCAAAATGGGTTATAGGAGTGAAGCCCAGGTCCCCAGGTGACTCCCAAGGCTGAGCTCCTAAGTACTTTCTACATGATGCCACCTCCCCTACTTCCCTTCCTTTATGACCTCCTATCACGTAGACTTGGTCCCTTGCAGTTGAGTCATTACATATTCCTGTGTAGTTGAGCTTTGATTGAGTATTGAAATGGCTCCCCAACTTCATTAAAAGATCCTTGACGTGAGGGATGATATCTTGTACTTCTTCATTCTTCTTGTGGGACCCTTGGTATTGTGGCATTTGCATGGGGATCAAATACTTGTTCATTAAGTGAAGGCTGTAGCAATTGGGTGCAGAGAATAAGAAAAAGGAAGACATTATTTTAATTCCGTTCTACTTTAATGCTTTATGATGTTGTTGTTAAGTGCTGTTGAGGCGATTGTGACCCATAGCGACCCTGTACAGGGTTTCTGAGGCTATAAATCTTTACAGGAGCAGAAGGCCTCATATTTCTCCTGCTGACTGGCTGGTAGTTTTGAATTGCTGACCTTGCAGTTCGCAGCCCAATTTGTAGCTACTATGCTACCAGAGCTCCTTATGCTTTATGATAGGTACTATTACTTTTGGTGGAAACAGGGTTTTTTGTTTTTTTCTGCAGTTCATAAAAATTGAGAAACTCACCAAAGTTCCTATACTGCCACATACAATTAGCTTCCTGATTCCAAGCCAGATCCACAGTTAAATCTGTTCTAAACGGCTGCCCTTTGCAACATCCACTACTTTTTTGTTGAGAATGTGTTTTAGTAAGTTTAAGGTAACTAAATAGATCTAAAAAAGATGGGGCTGCCAAGATTTGTAGGTCAGGGACACTTCTTGGCCTCATACCAGTGGATGACAGATGATGTCATTGAGTGGGAGGAGAAAAGATTCAGCCCCATGTACAGATAACTGAGTCTATAATAAATATCAGGACAAGAGAGTTGGGGAGTGGAGCCACTGCTAGAGAAACTCACTCACATCGATTGTCAAGATGAAGCTGTTACTGCTGTGTCTCGGCCTGAGTCTAGCCTGTGCTCATGTGGAAGGAAAGCCTAATGTTGTGAAACACAACATTAATATGACCAAGGTAGTAGAGTTGGGCAAGAAGTGATTCCTGACATTAGGGGGGTGGTTTGGAGGGTTTTGAAACTAGGTGGATTGGATAGTAACAGTTTTTTGACATATACAAAGTGATGTTTTCCTACTTTGAAGTAAGAGTAATTGTACCATGCTAGAAGATGGAAATTCTTGGGACCCTCCATTTTCCCTGGAAGGACAGGAGAAATAGCCCTGAGTGTGCTGTTATTTGCTTTGAGTTCAATCTTCACGTCTTATTCAAAGACACCACTATGAGTCCTGTGCCATGGGCTAGAGGTCTAGGAGAGAAGTATTCAGTATTCATGTGATTCCTTCCTCTTCTTAAGTTTCCCAATTATTTTACTGATTTATTTCAGGCTGCAGGAGTCTGGTATTCTGTTCTCTTTGCCTCCGATGACAGGGAACAAATAGAAGAAAATGGTAGCCTGAGAGTTTTTGTGCAAACCTTGCAAGTCTTGGACAACTCTTCTCTGTACTATCAATTGCATATCATGTAAGTATGTATGATCTTTTTTTATCAGGGAGAGGAGAATACACACATGCATACACATACACACAAATGTTCATGTACACTCACATCCTGGGGCCATGTTCAAAATCAGAGCCCTTCACCTGGCATTGATCCAGGACTTGAGGGGCCTGGGGCTTTTCTAGATTGCTGATGAATGTAAATGGGGTTAGGGAGGTAGTGAGGAGAGGAGTGTCAGAATCAGTAGTAGTGTGGTAATGGAACAGATGACTAGAATGAAACCTGGAATCAACAGCCACAATTTGAATCTCCTATACTAGGTGTGCAACCAAGAAAATGAATCTCTTTCCATCTGCATTTTCCCTTGGGTAAAAGTATATGACATTTCTCCTTCATTCTTTTTTTGTGAAGACTAAGTGAGGTAGTATTTGTAAAGCATTTATTTGAGAGCTTGATACCTAGTGACCTCTCAGCTAACAATCTAGGGAAGTAGAAGTAATAGTGGAAGTAGTGGTAGTAGTAGTAGTTGGCTCATTCTTAAAGCATCAAATCACATGAAATAATATAAATATTATTTGTCAAGAAATGTCAAGAAAACAAAAATCCTCACCACTGGACCAATAAACAACATTCTTATCAATGGAGAAAAGATTGAAGTTCTCAAGGACTTCATTCTTCTTGGATCAACTATCAACATTCGCGGAAGCAGCAGTCAAGAGATCAGACAACGTATTGCATTGGGCAAATCTGCTGCACAGGAATTTTAAGCATTGAAGAACAGAGATGTCAGCTTGAGGACTAAGGTGCACCTGACCCAAGCCATGGTATTTTCAATAACCTCATATGGATGTGAAAGCTGGACAGTGAATAAGGAAGATAGTAGAAGAATTGATGCCTTTGAGTTGTGGTGTTGGAGGAGAATACTGAAAGTGCCATGGACTGCCAAAAGAACCAATAGATCTGTTTTGGAAGACGTGCAACCAGAGTGCTCCTTGGAGGCCAAGATGGCTAAGCTTCATCTCTCATACTTTGGACATATTGTCCGGAGGGAACAGCCACTGGAGAAGGATGTCATGCTGGGTAAGGTGGAGGGTCAGAGAAAATGGGGAAGACTCCTAACGAGATGGATTGGCCAGGTGGCATCATTGATGGACTCAAGTGTGGCAGAGGTAGTGAGGTTGGCCCAGGATCGGACATTGTTTCGTTCTGCTGTGCATGGGGTCGCTATGAGTCAGTTCCAACTCGATGGCACCTGGCAACAACAACAACAATATAAATAAAGATCTTTGAAAATTGTACCAAAAATGTTAAAAAGTTAAGTGAAATTAGAAACTCAAATCCTGGGAATAGTAGAAGAAGAGGGAGCCAGCACCTACTAACATCCCTTGAGCATAAGATCATTCTATTTTACAGGAAAGACGGAAAATGTACTGACATTAAGTTTGTTTGTAACCAAACAAAAGAAAATGGTGTATGTAGCGTCGAATGTAAGTATACAGAAAATTTTAATAAAATTCTACTTTCAACTATAAAGAATTGACTAAATCCCAGTATCTTCAGGACCTTGTTCAATTTCTGATCAATACTTATCTTAATAATATAATGGTAGACATCTAATAGCCAATATACTGAATCTAGGAGAACTTTAAGTATTAATTCCATTGTGTAAAACTCAATATATTTATGAGAGATGATTCAGTCATATGTATCTCCTGCAGCAGGAGCATAGTGGCTCCATATGCTAAGCACTGGACGGTGAGCCAAAGGTCTCATTTCGAGTCCACCAGCATCTCTGTGGGAAAAAGATGAGGCTTTCTGCTCCTGTGAAGATTTTAAAGCCTCAGAAACCATATACAGGGTCCCTAGAGTGGAAACCAACTTGACGGCACTTAACATCAGTGGCCAGTCTACCTGTATTAGTTATCTGGTGCTTAGTTATCCAGTTATCATAACAGAAACACCACAAGTAGATTGTTTTAATAAACAGAAATGTATTTTCTCACTGTTTAGGGGACTAGAAGTCAGAATTGATACGATCAGTATTCTTTTCTCACAAGTTACCTCACAAAGCCCAGAGAAATGCAAATAAAGACCTTGGATATCCCCATTTTCTACCTCTTCCAGGATGGGTACTTGAATTTGTTTTGTGGGAGAGAAGAGGTAAAAGATTTCGAGCTTCTTACTGACCAATAAAGTTATGAACTGTGTTCTATCTCCTCTACAGATGATGGATACAATACAGTTAAAGTAGTTGAAACTAATTATGATGAGTATATTATGTATCATCTCCACAATGTCAATGATGAACGTAATTTCCAACTTATGGAGCTCTATGGTAGAGTATTTTCATGCTGACATTCATTTTGGGGTGGGAAGAGAGGGGGAAGAAGGAACCCTGGAGACAAAGTGGTCTTCCCAGTCTTATTCTGGAATGTCTCTCCCCCTCTGAAGATAGATGCTCACATCTGGGAGTCCCTCAGGCTTAGCGATGGGAAGATGATGAAATCTTTCATCATGCCAGAAGGATGGATATTCTAGTAATGTCAAATCTCAGGGCAGCTTATATCGCCCTCATCTGTCTCAATAGCAGTTATTGTCACTCCCCACAGGCCGAGACAAAGATCTAAGTCAAGACATCAAGGACAGGTTTGTGAGGTATTGCAGACAACATGGGGTTCCTGAGGAAAATATACTTGACCTGACCACCGTTGGTAAGTTTATTATCTCTGGCTTTCCCTTCCTCATATTTCTATGTGTTTTGAATAGAATTTTATTTCCCCAAAATATGCATTTATGTAGTGATACAATTATCCCCCATTATGTGAGCTGATGTTCTCAGTCAATTGCATTTTAAAATTGTGGTGGAACACTATACACTTACTCAGGTCACAGTTCTGATTCGACACAAGAGGAGTTTCTGAGAGTATGGTCACATCACGGTTTATCTTATAAGAGACAAAAGAAGAGAGAAATGAATAGAGAAAGGGACACCTAATACCACCAAGAATGAAGAGCGAGGAGCAGAATGTATCCTTTGAAGTTGGAGTCCATGTGCTGAGAACCTCTTAAACTTAGGGGAAGACTAATGCTGCGACACATGGAGATCTCCAAGGAACACCAGTCCCATATATGTTGAAATGAGACAATAATATTCCCCCAAAGCCAGGAGAGTAAAAGCCTTTCCTAGAGTTGATGGCCTGAATTCAGACTTCTAACATCCTCAACTTTGAGAGAATAGACTTCCATTTGTTAAAACCTTTCACTTGTGGTATTTCTGTTAAGGCAGCACAGATAACTACGACAATTTATAGCAGAAGAGTAGGGTGCTGCCCTAACAGATACATAAAATGTGAAAGGAAGCAGTTTTGGAATTGGATAATGGGTAGAGGCTGAAAGAGTTTTAAGGAGCCTAAATGATGCTCTGTGGGAGAAAGATGAGGCTTTCTGCTCCCGTAAAGATTTACAGCCTGGGAAACACTGTTCAGGGTTGCTATGGGTCGGAATTGACTCGATGGCACTTAACACCAACAAAATGATGCTATAGGATCAGCACCAGACTGCAAACCACGAGGCTGGCAGTTCAAACCCACCAGCTGCTCCTTGGAAACCCTATACAGGGGTGTTATGAGTCAGAACTGACTCAATGGCACTTAATAACAACAACAATAGTAAAAGGCTTGCTGGCAGAGTGGTGTGCCTCCTGGCACTTAACGTCTAAATTAAAATGCTTTGTAACACTTGCCTCAGTAGGATAGAGGCCAGTCCAGTCCAAAGATCCTAGGGGCTGAGGAGCCAGGGGCCCCCCAGGGACAAAGTGCCAAGGAACGAGGAAGCAGAAGCTGAAAAGACCAGGGGATTGGGAAACAGAGCTGCCTCAGTCTCAAAAGAGCCATGACTTTTGGAGTCTTAAAGGGTACGGCCATGGCCTCTGGAATTATAAAGGGCAGGGATCACAGCCTCCTAAGTTTCAAAGAATAGGATGTTCATCCACTCAATTCTAGAGTGTGGGGCTTCCATGCAGAGTACCTGGGGGACCTTAGTGCCACCAAGAAAGAAGACCCAGGAGAAAAATGCATCCTTTGAACTGAGACCCATGTGCTGAGAACCTCCTAGACCTAGGGGAAGATGGATGCCAAGACACATGAAGATTCCCAAAGAACACCAGGCTCACAGATGTTGAAAGGACACAAGGACTTTCCCTGAGAGCTGACCGAGAGAGAAAGCCTTCTCCCATGCTGTAGCTGATACCCTGAATTAGGACTTCTAATTTTCTAAACTGTGAGAGAACACATGAATACATTTGCTTGTTAAAGCCTTCCACTTGTGGCATTCTTGTTAAAGCAGCCCTAGGTATATAAGACATTATGTTACTAAGAGGAAGAAGCCCAAGGGAAGGCAATGCCCCCAATTAGTTCGCTTTGTCGTAACCCAGTGGAGTTCCTGGTTTCTATCTGGGGAATGAATTGGAGTTGGTGTCTATATGTGTTCTGCTCTGTCTCTACAGATCGTTGTCTCGAGACACGAGATGCAAAAGAGACCCAAGGCGAGGAAGAGACCTAGGACTCCATTGGTGATCTCTGATTCTAGGTGATCTTGGATTCTCTGCCCAGTGCCTTTCAAAAACATTTAGGGTTTGTGCCCAAAGACTGCAATAAAATGATTTGGTAAGAATGATGTTGAGGACAGCTTGACGTTTGGCATTGGTTCATGACCTACTCCTACCATGAGCTGTTGAGCAGCTTACCTAAAGGAAACACTGATGTCTACCTTACCAAATTGCTTTATGAGTATTATGTTGGTGAAAAGTGCTCAGTAATTGATGGTGTTTGGTGGTTATGTGCCGTGGAGTCGGTTTCGACTCATAGCGACCCTGTACAGGGTTTCTGAGGCTGTAAATCTTTACGGGAGCAGAAAGCCTCATCTTTCTCCTACAGAGCAGCAGGTAGTTTCAAACTGCTGACCTTGAGGTTTGCAGCATGATTTGTAATGATATGGTGCTAAAATCACTAGGACTTGAATTTTGAGATGGGAAGAAGGCTGTTTCCTACCTCAGAATTATTGTGGAGCTGCATTCAGATCATGTAGGTGAATCTCTTAGCACCTAGGCTTATATAACATAAGCATTTACCATATATTTATGCATACAACACATGCTTTATGCATTTATTGCAAACCGCATAACCCCCACTTGTTACTGTTGTAAATGTGTTATGCCAAACTTTTTTCCATGTATCTGACTTATGTTTTGATATCTTTTTCTGTCTAATGGATTAAAGTTACTGGGACAAAACTGATCTAATGGAAACTTCATTTAAGGTAGATATTTTCCTAAAGTATATGTAACCAATAGTGAACTGAACAGGCCCAGGATGGAAATGTAGAGCCATTTCCCATTTAAACCAAAGAATCTAAATGCACGAAAAGCTAGAAATTAGTATGATTCTAGGCCTAAAACTATAAAAACATGATGTTGTTTCTATTATATACCTTTCATAAATCTTACACTGCAACATTATTTTTGGTAATCAATGTCTTTGAAATGAAAGAAAAATCATCAGAAGAAAGTGTGTTTTCATCTTAAAACAGACCATTTTAGTTCATTCATTCATTAGCATCATCCTCATCCAATTCCTAGAGCCTTTCAGAGTCTAATCCCTCATCACTATCATCACTGAACTAGCTCAGAGCTGCCTACAGATGCTCTTCTGTGACTTCGGAACTAATGTCATCATTACCACTGCCTTTGGGTCTTCTTCTTTGTCATCAATATCCTGCTAGTTCACAATCACAGCTTTTCTGCAGCTGTTGCAGATGGTTTCGGGCACTATTTTCCAATAGACAGAAGCTACCCACTTGCAAACCTCTGTAAATGTCACCTGCTTCAGTGGTCCTGATGGTTTGAATTCATGAATCTCAGACAGTACCCATTCACTGCACTCTCTTCTATGAAAGTCTTGACTGGGAAGTTGACTGCCCTATCTAGAGATGGCAGCTTACAGCTAAAGCCACCAGTATGAATGTTACATAGGCACCAGTTAACTTACTATGATGTTGAACATTATGTGTATGTGTGTGCTGCCATGCATCAAAAATTCTTGATAATAATTCTCCATGCCTGGCCCTATATTTATCAACCCATATTTCATAACATCACAATTCATCCATCCCTTCTTATTACAATGACAATGAACAATGATAGGTGTTTTTTGTTTGTTTGCTTTTGTGGGGCATGGTGATTCTCTTGAAAACATCATCAGCTTTCATTTTCCCCTATTCAGTGCAACCAAGGACTACAGTGAAGCAAGCACTCTCATGACCAGTTGTTGTAATGACTAGTTTTCATACCTGCAGCAGCTACAGTCCTAGTGACTGGAATGTTACATCCATTGCACATATACCAAGTTCAGAGATTTCTTTGGTGATGAAGTTGTGGAAGTTGACCATCTTTTGTTCCCAGTCATCTGGAAGTTGCTGACCATTCCTTTCCATGAACTTAGAAATCTATATGGAACCTGCCTTGAATCTGGGATTCTTTTCAGTCACCAGAAGTTCTACTTCAATTTGAATAGTGGCAGTAGTCACAGTTGATTTGCGTCTCTTTTTCAACTCCTTCTCCAACTCAGACCATTTTGCTTTGCAGCCACAACACGCACATTTTGGTGGATTCATTTTCTCCAGCTCCCTTTTCTCCTTTCTCCTCTTGCAAATGACTGACTCTCCCACCTGGAATTCTTTTGTAGCCTGCCCTCTATTGCTCATGTCTCCCACCCTCACAACAAGCTTCAGTTTGAAGTTGGCAGTGTAGGACTTGTATTTAATTCCTAACATGATTGATACAAAAGGGTTCTGAGATTAAGATTTAGAAATTGAAAAAATGTATACAGTATTGTCAATAACTGCCTGGATCTTGGAAAAGATCACAGAATTTAAATGTGAGGTGTACAGGATACAAGGATATATATATATATATATATTTGTTGTTGTTAACTGCCGTGGAGTCAGTTCCAACTTATTAGTGATCCTGTACAGGGCTTCTGAGGCTGTAAATCTTTATGGGAGCAGAAACCCTCATCTTTTTCCTGCGGAACAGCTGGTAGTTTCGAACTGCTGACCATTAGATTAGCAGTACAATTCGTAACCACTATGCTACTATATATATATATATTTGTTGTTGTTAGATGACATCGAGTTGGTATCGACTCATAGAGACCTTATGCACAGCAGAACAAAACACTGCCCGATCCTGGGCCAACCTCATTCCATCTTGGCCAATCCGTCTTGTTGGGGGTGTCTTCCTATTTTTCTCTGACCCTCCACCTTACCAAACATGATATCCTTCTCCAGTGACTGGTCCCTCCTGACAATATGTCTGAAGTATGAGAGACAAATTTTGGCCATCTTGGCCTCCAGGGAGCACTCTGGCTGCACTTCTTCCAAAACGGAACTATTGGTTCTTTTGGTAGCTCATGGCACTTTCAATATTCTCCTCCAACACCATAACTCAAAACCATCAATTCTTCTAGTCTTCCTTATTCACTGTCCAGCTTTTGCGTGCATATGAGGTTATTGAAAATACCATGGCTCTGGTCAGGAGAACTTTAGCCCTCAAGCTGACATCTTTCCTCGTCAACACTTTAAAAAGTTCTTGTGCAGCAGATTTACCTAATGCAATACGTCATTTGATTTCTTGACTGATGCTTCCATGAGTGTTGATAGTTGATCCAAGAAAAATGAAGTCCGTGAAAACTTCAATCTTTTCTCCATTGATAAGAATTTTGTTTATTGGTCCAGTGGTGAGGATTTTTGTTTTCTTTACATTGAGATGTAATCCATACCACAGGCTGTGTGGTATGTGTGTGTGTATATATATATTTATATACACACACACACATATAACTAAGGTGAATCATGATCACCGATGAGACATTGGTGCTAACAAAACATCACTATGAAATTAGCCTACCTAATACAGTTTAATGGTTTCATTTAAGATGATCTGATAAGGTTTTCTCATTTAACTATTGAGTCATTTTTGCTTTGCTTCCTTCTCCAATTAAAGACCAGAGTTGGAAGATGCCTGGTAATTATGTCAATGCAAATTGAATGGATTGCTAGTGATAGCGTCTAGATGGCGTCTAAGTGATCGCATTTCATTCATGGAGAGACTTTAGTAGGTTCAAGGTTCTGATTTATGACTCAAAATGTTGCAGCGATGATACAATTATCAACTTAAGTTAATAGAAACAAACACAACAGTTTCAATTGTTTATTTTCCTATTACTTGGATACTACTAAGTTCAACCTGTGGCTTCTTGACCATTGCTATACTTTTATCATACAAATATGATCAAAAGTAACATTTTCAGACCATTGAAAGAGAGTCAATGAGGCTGAAATTCACTTCTGCAAATGTAACAACACATGCATGGGTGTGTTAAGCCATAATTTCATCATCTCTGCACGTTACATGTGTAGGATATCACTATCTGTGAAAAAAATATGGTAATTATAGGCAACTATGACTTTTCCCAGAGCCCTGGTGTGACGGTGTTGGATAAGCACTGGACTGCAGTGTTAACTGCAAGGTCAGCAGTTCAAATCCACCAGCTGTTCTTAGAAACCCTATCCAGGGTCACTATGATTTGAACTCAATGCAAACAATAACAATAACAACTTTTGCTATTATTCCTTAATCTATCACAAATTCTTCAAGCTCTCTAGCCATGGAGATGGCTTTTTTCACAGTCTCAGTTGGAGGTTAAGATGGAATTGGGAGCAGAAAGAAAAATCTTGATTTCTTTATGCCCTCCCTCCCATTGTCTTGGTAAATGGTGTGAGTTGAAATGCAGGTGAATGTCTTTTCTCACCCTTTGTCTCCATTGTGAAAATTATCTTTGTTCTTAATTCATTCAATCCAAGGACTGCTTTCTAAGTTTTGTGTTATATTTCTCTTCTTTTTTAGTGACTAGTGAATAATTGCTCACGTGGACTTCAGGATCTTCTCATCCATGGTCCCCACATCATCCGTGATCGATTCTATGACCTCATTTCCATCACTTTTGCACACGAAGACATCTTCAGCGTCTTCCCTAACTGCCTAGGAAGATCCATCAATTCACCAAGAATCAAAAGTTTTCTCTGAAATTCTCTCCTTGCCACACTCCGGGTAGCTTTCCCAGAAATAAGACTTGCTGCTATATACATGGTCAATAAATGATTAGCCTTGCTGTCATGTGATTTGTCTTTGTGTATGGGACAGATGTGGCGCTGACAACAGTGCATGTGGCGGCTCTGTGGTTTCTCAAAGTCTTCCGTGGGTTTCAGGATCCTTCCTCCTCTGAGTAATTCCTTTTCCTTTATCCCAAATCGCCAAGCACTGCTGCTTGCCCTCTGCTGAATCTTTTTCTTAAGTGGCCTGACAAGGCTGTTACACATACTGTAAGAATAGGATCTAGGGGATCCTCTAGGGGAGCATGGGACTGGGCCAGAGTTACTGGATGCTGAGCCTCAGGGGGAGTGGGCAGGCACTGGAAGTCAGGAAGTAACCCAGCCAGAGCTGC